TAATCGCATCAAAAGATTCGATTATAATGTTCCCATTTATATCATCAGGCTCAGTTGCTTTATTTCTTTTTATTGCTTTATATGCTATTTTAAATTCACTAAATGTTAGATTTGAAAAGTTTAGAGTTGAATTTGTTAATAAAATAAATTCATTAACGGAGTTATTGTCTACATAAGGAATTTTATTTGACAGACTTTGTCCTATTGTTGAAAAAAACTTGTTAAATTTGGTGGCAATTTCCTTCGAATCGTTAACTATTTTATTTTTAATTTTTATTGCAGCCGGCATAGTTTTTTGTGCATGTCTTATGTTTACCAGTAATATCCTTTATTATTTGCCAAACTCGCTTTAAATTATATTTGTGCTTCATAAGCAAGTCCGAGTAATAAATTTTTTTGGCTTTTTTGCGGAGTTTTTTAAATAAATTTTTATAGACTGTGTAAGTGATTTTATGCTTTTCTGATTTAGCTTTTAGATACTTAAAATAAAGTTTTTGCTTTATTTTTGAGTACTTTTTAATTCCTTTAGTTATCCAAGGTCAAGATAGGTCTTTGGCGTTAAGAATTGTTTCACGCAATGGAAAGTTAGCGTTGTAGGTTTTATAAAAAGTTTTAAAAAAAGAGTTATAGATGAGGTTTATATCGTCATTGAAATTTATATAGCTCCAGTCTTAATTCAAAAGTTGATCTTTAAATAAATTTAGGTTAGTGTTGTTGTAAACACGTTTTTTAATTGTTACCTTTCCATGCATACTTGGTTTGCTGTTTGCGCTTATGCAGAAAAAAATAGGAAAATGGTCAGAAACATCGGTTTTTACAATGCCTTTTTTAAGCGTTGTATTAAAAATGTCATTGGTTAGAATGTTGTCAATTAAAGAGGACGAATGATTTGTTATTCTAGTTGGTTTATCAATAATGGGTATTGTTCCTGTTTGGAATAAGTAATTATAAAAATTTGTTAAATTTTGTTTTTTATTATAATGGAAACAGTCTAAATTGAAATCGCCAAGTATGTAATTTTTTTTCTTTTCTTGGTTAGTTTTTTTCTATTAAATTACTTATTAGATATTTGCTTACGTACTCAGTTCTTCCAGTCGGTGGCCGATAGCAGCAGCTTATTAAAATATTTTTAAATTGTTTGATTATTATTTCAACCGATAAAATCTCGACATTTTTATCAGAAACACTCATCTCGCGTCTAATATTATACGCAATTTTTTTTTTTTATGTAAAAAAGTACTCCTCCTTTACGCTTATTAACATTACGCTCTATAAACACTGTATTAAAACCTATAAGATGGAGATTAGAGTTCGATTTAAAATCTTCTGTACACCAAGTTTCAGTTAAACAAATAACGTTAAAAAAATTTTCTGTTTCGCAAATCATATTAAAAAAGTTATCAAATTTTTTTTTTAAACTTCTCATATTAATGTGGATTACATTAAAATAATCACGATTATTTTCTAGATAAAATTAAAATGCTTTTAATTTTATCTAGAAAAAAGTAAGAGCATTCAAATTCAGGTCCATTAATCTCATTAAAATAATATCTTGATCAGATTCAATTTCTAAATTAAAAGTATTAGTGTGAAATAAATTTGATACTTTTTCAAAAGCATTTCTATAAGATGAATCCATTTTAAATATTTTTGTAATTTTAAATATATTCGGAGGTTTTTATATACATATGTATATATGTACACACACATACACACTACATACATAAACAAATATATACATATATATATTAAAACATATTTTTTTAAATTAATAATTGATAATAGTCTTTTAAAAAGACTTTGTGATTAATTTATTATAAACCACTTTAGCAAAATTACCTGAAGAACGTATTTCTTTAGCTTTAATAAATAACTGCTTACGAATGTTTGTTGTTCGCTCACTGAAGTCTTTATTAATGTATTCTTTTTCATTCCATAACTTCAACTTTTTATAGTTTTGTAATACAGTTTCACGATCTTTGTAATCAAGAAATTTTACTACTATCGTTCTTCTTCTTATATCGTCGTTGTCTTCTTTCTTCCTTGTTCGGTGTGTTCAATCATTTTGCTGATATAAAATTATTAGTCTATTTGTGCGCCTTTTGCCTAGATGACTGCTAGACATCTTTTGGGCATTGAATCTACTAAGTTTTTAAGCCATTGTGGGTCAAATTTTTCCCACTCCTCAATAAGAATTTCCTTTAATTGCGCCAAACTCGATGGTTTTTGATCAGCTACTTTAATTTTAAAAAGATTTCACAAATTTTCGATCGGGTTTAGATCTGGTGACTGAGGAATCCACTCTAACATCTTAATACTGTTTTTTTTTAACCACTGAGTAGCTAACTTTGATGTGTGTTTAGGATCTCCATCCTGTTGAAAGATAAAATTACGAGATAAGCCAGCACTTCTGGCGCTTAATCTCAGTTTTCGCTTCAGAATATCAGTATAAACCTCTTTTGTCATTATTCCATCAATGAATTCAAAACCTCTTTTGTCATTATTCCATCAATGAATTCAAATTCGCCAACACCACTCCAAGCAAAGGAGCCCCAAACCATCATTCGACCTATGAAAAGAGGAAAAAACAAGTTAAAAATATATATAATATTGAAAGTTTTATAATAAAGCTTAATGTTACCTCTTCCATACTTTACAGTTGGTCTCATACATTTAAGGTTTAAGCGTTCACCATTTTTTCTCCATTTGCGTATGATACCATCAGAACCAAATAAACATACTTTTGTTTCATCGGACCATAAAACTCTACGCCATTGGTCGCTAGTCCAATTTGAATGTTTCTTAGCCCAAGCCAATCTTTTCTTTTGATTCTTTTTACTCAAAAAGGGATTTTTTTTCAACAGATTGCGAACAGTTTTAGAATTTACAGTTATACCATGATCTGTTTGTAAATCTTTTGCAAGCTTTGGTGTAGATAATCCTCGATCTTGTTTAACTTTCCGAATAATTTCTCTATCATTGCGTAAAGTAGTTATAGCTAGGCGTCCTTTTTTCCGGCAAATTTTTATGGTACCCATTTTTTTATATTTTTTTATGATATTTCCTAGACTATTAGGTTTAACATTTACTATTTTAGAAATAGTTTTATACCTTTTTCCACTTTTATATAAAAGTGGAAAAAGGACACTATAAAGTGTCCCAGGATCAGCTCTTTTACTGATTCATGAATTTCACATCTTTTCACCATAATTTTTTTTATTAGGAACCTAAAAAGAAAACAAACTTTGCTAAAAAAATAAGTTAGAATAACTTCTATCAATCAAATTTGTTTGTTTTTGGCTTTTTTTTCTGCAATTCTCTAAGTTATACAACAGAAAAGTTAAAAAATGACTAGGGGGTAATTTTTGTTTTAAGTATAAGAATATTAATACCTTATTATAAAAATGTTTTTTTTAATATAAATGAAATGATAAAGCAAAGCTGAAATGATAGGATTTAATGGATTAGGTTTGTAGTTGTAAGTCAGTTTATTTGTGTAATATATTATTAATGTATATAGTATGTGTATACTATCATTTCATAGGAACATTTTAAACAAAAATAAAAACTTTATATTATAACCATAACTGAAAAATATAAGTTCAGATAACTAAGTAGTATTTTGTTTTTAAGTATATAGGGGTAATTAAACAAAATAACAATAAAATATAAATTAATAATAAGAAATATAATTTTATGATATTGATAAATACATTAATATTATTAAGTAATGATAAGTATTTGTATAATTTAAGTATAAGACTATTTAAGTATAAAACTATATAGTTACACAAACTTATAATATAGATGGAACATAAACGTGGAAAATAAATTTATTACAATAAAGAAACTATATAAATTAATATAGAATTTACACTAATAAATTAATATAGAATACACGTATATATATATATATATATATATATATATATATATATATATATATATATATATATATATATATATATATATATATATACTAATCAATAGTATGCAATAAAAATTGTGTGAATAGTAAAGATCAGCAACAAATTTAACTTTTGTTTTACTTTTATTTTGTTAATAAGGGTTAGTCTTATATAAGAAAGCTTGCTGTTTTGAACATAGATCAAGTGTACCAGGATATCAAAGTTTTATGTAATACAATAATCAATGCACTTACTCTTCTGTTAATAATAACTATAAAAATAATAAAAAAAATAAAATAATAAAAAAATTATTAGTCTTGTTAGTATTTAATAATCTTGCTAATGTGAACCTAGGCCAATTGATTCAGATAGAAAACCTTAGTATGTTTAAATTAGATGAAATGTAACACCAGTTCAAACAATGTGAAGCACTTGTAGTTTCAATATATTCCGATTTTATAACAATGTCTGCTATATCTATTATTAAAATTTGATTCAATAATATGATTCAAATAATAACCAATTATAAAATTTCAAAATAAGTTGGCGCCATTTTTTATCAAGAAAATACGTCTGTTCGCCGCGGCAACTTTGTATCATCCAAGTTAAGAAAAATAAAATCACTGTCATGTCATTTACACCATATTGAACTAAAATAACATATTATTACAAAATGTTGTAAATGACATTGTCATAATGTCATTTACAACATATTGAAAATTTTTTTCAAAATGTTAATAATTTTGTTTAATGACGCCCATAGTTTAGCTCACTGTTCAAGAGAAAAACTTCAATTTACCTACTTTGATTAAAAACTGTAGCGCCAACAGTTGCTAGGCTACTACTTACCAAAACAACTATTCGTTAATTAGCATAATAGTTTTCGAAATAACGTTATTTTCAAAAAGCTTAATTTCAAAAAATATAGTCGCCGAAATTTTGTGCAAATTATATTTAAATTAAAATATATTAACCAATTAAAACTTTTTATTTTTCTTAATTTGGATGTAAAGTTTTAGCCGCAACATACATGGTACCGCAATGTTTATTTTAGTCAAGAAAAAACAAAGTTTTTTTAAAAACATTAAAAAA